GAGAGAGAGAGAGAGAGAGAGAGAGAGAGAGAGAGAGAGAGAGAGAGAGAGAGAGAGTGCGAAACAATGAGTTGTCTGAAGGACGGAATGCATGGCCTTGGACGGAATACCTCCCCCTGTCTACGTGTTCTGCGACAACAAAAAGCAGCTTGTCTATGTGAATTCCGCGGTGGGACAACTCCCTGACTGGTTGTCATTACACCATTCCCTTCGAGCCTCTCCCCGCAAATCCTCTCTTACCTGAAACGACATTGACTACCGCGGACTTCCCTGTCACTTCAACCCACAATCTGCTCACTCAACCAATTTGAAGGCTCACGCCTTGTATATGCCTAATACTGCAGCTTCATTATGCCAATGCCAAACGCACATTCGAAGTTGTAGTGGATGGACACTATCCACCCACCACGAAGGGACTTCCACACCTCTCTTTCTGCCATCGCTGCAGCGAACACTCTGAGGGCACAAACCTTCGATGACCCCCATCACTCGTCGTTCAGATACCATCCAAGGCAGATTCCCTTCACCTCGATGCAGACGTGATTGTGACGTGATTGTGACGCCATTCTTCGCGAGATACTTCAATCAACACAACAACACACTCCTCCTCCACCAGACTGACGTGCCATGTCTGCGTCCCCTCGTCTATCCCAGCCCTCTCTATGGATAACCTCTGCCGAAATTCAGGTGGGCAGCGACCTGGACTCCTGGAGGGCCACGTCCGTCGTCCACAGCATCGCCAGTGTCTGCCATTTGCAGCAGGCATGACCTATCACTAGGCATACCACACACGTGTAGCTCACATCCTTGGCAGCTTGAGATGGTGTGGCAGAGTTGGGGCCGCCCTGCAATCGAGATCTGCGACCTGGGCGCACTCAGTAATTCCTTGCATCATAGGAGTGGCTGCATCTTGGGGGGAGGACCGCCAGGATTCCAATCTCGCGAGCTGCACGACCTGCGCGGATGAGCAAGCAAACTGCACGGGGCATATTTGAGCTTGTGTCTGTGGATCATCGACCCTGTCATATTTCCGGTGATGGTGGAGTGGGCAGGGGACGTTATAGAAGGTCTCCAGCGTTGTCCCATGGTTGTTCTGCAGATTTGTTGTTTTTCCAGTCACGGTGGACCCGCGCTTCCATGAGGGACGTGCTACACAGCAGATGTGCAGAGTGGGGAACCGGACCGTGTTCCATGAACTGCCAGTCTCTGGCCTCGTTGTGTTCAAATTTGAGCCACTGAAACAGCGATAGGTTGGCTTTAGTGCAAAACAGTTCACTTTGCAAATAGCGGCGAGTGGTGGTTCTTCCTTTAAGTTAATGTGATCGCACAGGGAGGCTCCCTCTCCCTGTTGTTTTGTATCAGATTTGTAATTGCGGAAAATGCGGAACTGAGAAAAGGCATGTGGGGAAGGTCGTGATTGCCATGTATGGACTGAGGTCGCATAGGGGAGGGGGTTGATCTCCCTCTCCCCTTTGTTTTGTATCAGATTTGTAATTGCGGAAAATGCGGAACTGAAAAAAGGCATGTAGGGAAGGTCGTGATTGCCATGTATGAACTGAGATCGCATCGGGGAGGGAGTTGATCTCCCTCTCCCATTTTTTTTTTCTTATTTTTTTTCCTTGCAAATGCGACGAAACTCAAAAAAGCGGCGTGGGTGAAGGTCGTCATTGCCGTGTGTGGAAGGTCGTGATTGCCATGTGTGGACGGACCCCCTCACTTCCCCGCAGCACCGGGGGGGTCCAGCGTTCCGGGAACGCCATGTGTGGAAGGTCGTCATTGCCATGTGTGGACGGACCCCCTAACTGCCCCGCAGCACCAAGGGGGTCCAGCGTTCTGGGAACGCCAGACCCCCTTGCTGTTGTTGCCATCGAGGGGATCCCCTGGAACGCCTTCATCCCCCGCAGCGCAAACGGGGTCCAGCGTTCCCGCATCGTAGGACTCCCTTGGTGCTGTGGCCATCGAGGGGAGGGGCGCAGGACGGGCCCCCTTACACTCCGCAGCACTAGGGGGGTCCGGCGTTCCCGGAACGCCGGACCCCCTTGCTGTTGTGGCCATCGAGGGGATCGGACGGACCCCCTTCATCCCCCTTAGCACACAGGGGATCCGGCGTTCCAGGAACGTCGGACCCCCTTGGTGCTGTGGCCATCGAGGGGCGGGGCGGGCCCCCTTACTCCCCCGGAGGCGCAAAGGGGGTCCTGCGTTCCCGGAACGCCGGACCCCCTTCGTGCTGTCGCCAACGACGGGGGCTGCCGGAACGCCTTCATCCCCCGCAGCGCAAACGGGGTCCG